CCCCCCACCGCGGCGTCTAGCCTCGATTCCCCCACCTTAGCGAGTCGATGGTCCCCCAACCACACCTCGCAACACCTACCGCCTGCGGACATCGTCCGGCAGTGAGACGGCCGGAGTAGCCAACGCAGGCACTCGGGCTGGGGCGGTGCGGGCCGGCATCTCGGAGGCTGCAGCAGACACAGCAGCAGCACTGGAGGCCCCGGCTTTTCGCGCGGAAACCAACTGGGAGGGGCAGCGAGCAGAGTCAGCGCGTACCACCCTGGCCCAAGCGCAGGGGAAGATCCGACGTACCACGCACAGAGAGGCCGTACCATGGGTGGGCAGTCTGCGGAGTGGGCCGTGCGCAGAGATTGCGCATGCGTGCGGTGGGCGCGCACCCCCTTCCAGGGTAGAGCAGTGGGCTCGTCCAAGCGCCGCCTCCGTCCTGTTTGCTGCTTGGTGGAGGGGGTTTGGGCGGGGGTAGCAGCGCCTGGGAGGTTCATTCATTCACTGGGCGTTCGAGGAGCTAAGGCGGCTAGCGTCCCAAGGGGCTACAGCCTGTGAACACTCAAGTTAAAACCCTCAGCGCCAGCCTAACCTCCACCGTGTGCTCATTAGACAACCTTGAGCAGGCCTTTTCGGATTCAGCCTTAGCACTCTCTTGGGTGGTTCGGGCTCGGAGCACTTACTCCAGAATATCTTCAGGATAATTTGTAGCAAGCACGGTATTTGTAGCTGGCGCCAAGGATTTCACAATGTAGGGAGGCTGGCGCCATGCGTGGTGACACACACCTGTAATCTCAGCACTCTGGGGACTGAGGCAGGATGTTCCCAAATTCGAGTCCGGTTCTGGACAATTTAGGGACTCCTCGAGACCTTGTGTCAAAAAGTTAAAAAAGAGCCAGGGAAGTATCTCAGTATTGTCCTTCCTGCCTGGCGAGGACAAGGTCCCAAGTTCAATTCCCGGTACAAAAAAAAAAGTAAAAAAAAAAAAAGAATCTAGGCTTGGTGGCATACGTATGTAATCCCAGCACTCAGAAGTAAAAAATAAATCAAAGGTCTACTATCTAGAATATATAAAGAACTACAAAAAAAAAAATCAGACCCCCCCCCAAATATAAAGATCCAATTCATAAAAGGGCATCTCAGACAAAGAAGTACAAGCAACAAATAAACATTCAAACAATGGTCAATATCACTGGTCTTTGACAGATGCAGATGGAAACACTGAGATTCCACCTCACCCCACAAAGAATGGCTGCTATCAAAAGATCAACCAATAACAAATGTTGGCATGTTGGCGGGGTTGTGGGGAGAAAGGAACCCTTCTCCATTGTCGGTGGGAGTGCAGACTGGTGCAACCATTGTGGAAATCAATATGGAGACACCTTAAACAACTAGGGCTAGAGGTCCCATATGACCCAGCTATTCCCCTGCTGGGCATCTTCCCAAAAGAATTAAAAGAATCAAACCACAGTGATATATGCGCACCCATGTTTATAGCGGCACAGTTTGTAATAGCTGAAACTTGGAAACAGCCCAGTTGCCCATCGACTAGAGACTGGATGAAGAAGATGTGTTTTTTTGTTTTTGTTTTTTCTTATAAAATGGAGTAGTAGCCATAAAGAACGAGAAACTAGAGACATTAATAGCTAAGTGGATGCACACTGAGGACACACTCAAGTGAAATTAATAAGATACCCATGGGTAAATACCATATAGTTTCTCTGGTGTGATAAACTAAAAGTGTAAATAAAGATCAAAATGTGTGATTGATATTGTGTAATAGAAAAGGGCTAAAGGTGTAGGGGAAGTGGGAGGGGTAGGAGAAAGGTAAGAGAAAAGAAAATGAGAAAAATAGAAACAAAGTCTTTGTAAATAGGGAAGGGTAGGGGGTGAAGGGAGGGCAGGGGAAGGGGGAAAAATAAAAGCCAAGATACATCAAGGTCCCAATGGTGAATTTTAGGAATAATGATTCCTAAATGTACTAATAAAAAATAAATAATTTTAAAAGGCCTGGAGATGGAGCTCAGTGCAAAGAACCCGGGTTTGACTGAAAACAAATAAATGAATGAATAAATAAGCAAACATTGCCAAGGGTAGGAAGGATCTGAAACACCTAGTGCACTGTTGGTAAAGTTGTAAAATGCTGTGGGCTTTGTGGAAAACTGTATCAACGTTCCTCAAAAACTTAAAAATAGAATTACATGATCCTATGAGATCATCGACAATGGGAAATAGGAAGAAAAGGGCTAAAGGTGTAGGGAAAGTGGGAAGGGGAGGGGAAAGGGAGTAAGGGAATAGAAAAAAATAGGAGAAAATGGAAATAAAGTGTTTGTAAATGGGGAGGGGATGGGGGTGAAGGGAGGGCAGGGACAAGGGGAAAAAATGAGAACCAGGACCACTTGTCATGTAAAGGTACAGGATCCCAATAATGAATGTAACTGTACTGTATACCTAAAATGTACTAGTAAACTCAATGAGGAAAAAAGAATTATATGATCCAACAATCACACTTGTGGAGATATAAATATATTTGAGATCATTAAAAAAAAGAATCCTTTTGTTTTTGCTTTGTTTTTTGAGACAGAAGAGTCTCACTCAGCAGCTCAGGCTGGCCTTGAACACACTATGTAGCCCAGGATGACCTCCAACTCATGGAGATCCTCCTGCCTCAGCTTCCCCAGTGCTCAGTTGACAGGTGTGCACCACAACACCCAGGCACAACATGAACCTTGAGAACATTATGCTGACTGATATGATAGTCACCAAAGGATCAACACTTACATGTTGTATGTAAAATATTCAAACTCTTAGAAACAGGGCCAGGGATTTAGCTCAGCGGTTTGGTGGCGGGCCTTGCAAGCTCAAAGACCCCAGCTCAATCCCCAGTACCAAAAAAAAAAAAAAAAAAAAAAAAAAAAAAACTCTTAGAAACAAAAATGATAGCTACTAAGGATGGGAGGGAGGAGGAAAAGAGGAATTGTTCAGTGCCTAGAGTTTTTCAGCTTAACAAGATGAAAGAGTTCCAGAAATCTGTTGCACAGCAACGTGCACGTAGCTAACATTGTAACTGTGCACTTGAAAATGGTAAGACAGAAGCTGGGAGGTGATGATGGAGACCTAAGACACAACGCTGGTAGGTAATCAGGCTGCTATTTACCCTCACAAGAGTGTGATTACCATTTCACACAGGGGAAGTGTTACCCAGGTGTGAAGGCACAGGCTTAGAATCCAGGCCCTTGGGAGGCTGAGGCAGGAAGATCAAACCCAGCCTGAATAACTTAGTGAATTAGCAAGACCCTGTTGCAAAATTTAAAAATAAAAAGAATTGTAAAAGGGCTGGTCTATAGCTCTGTTCAAAGGCCCTGAGTTCAACCCTTACTGCTAAAAAAAAAAAAAAAGCAAAAGCTGAGTCACCCTAGATGTCCCAGGAACTGTCATAGCTCCACAGAGGCCCCAGGCTGTCTGTCCCCAACACCATAGCACTCAAAAGATTCAACAGGGACATTTTATCACTCGGATCCAGGAAACTCTATGCAGCTCCAGGACTGGCCCAGGCGGGCAGTGGAATCCAGGGAACTCAAGCCCTCTGGAGAGCGCAGGCTGCCGTTCCCCGCACATGTCCTTCGGCACCCGGTGACCAGCCAGTGTCTCCCCAGGACCGGCCACCTGGGTCACAGCTCCCCCGCCTTCCCTGGAACCCCCTCCCCGC